TTAACCCCCGGAGGAGCAGGCGCGGATGCCCCGGAGTTGTGTTGGGTGTTGTGGCACGGAGCGGTGACGCTGCTGGGGGATCGATTGGGAGGCAGAGAGCGGTGGAAGGGGACGCTGTCGTTGGGAGTTGTCCGGTGTTGTTGTGTCCCCGGGTATTTCCGAGGGTGTTCTGCGCTCTTGGGGTTGCTTCGGAGGTTGTAGGCAAAGCTCGGCTCTATGCAAATATGGAGAAATAAAAGGAAAACACTTCCCCGGGCTACGGTAGCGTTTCGTCCCTAAAACTGAAGATTTGGTGGAGATTGGGGAAAACGTTGTTAACTTTTTCAGCAGGGATGAAAACCTCTCCCTGGAGACGCGGAGAGCTGCCCTGGATTGGGCTGGGCGTGCTTGGGATGTGCTTTGCTGGGCAGAGGATGGTGCAGTACAGGCTGAGCCCGTGGTGGGCTCCAGGGAAAGGGAGGAAGATGGTTTTGTTCGATCAGAAGTGTTCAAGTTCGGTGCAGTTTGTCTTTATGTAACGATTTTAAGGGGTTTTTTCCTTAGTTTTCTATCCGTGCTGTGATTGGCAGTTTCATTGATGTGCAGTTATTTTTGTCATAACCTGTGTGAGAAATGGTACTAACAGGAAAATCTGAGTAAATTCAGCAGATACTGAAGCAGATAATGTTTTGCATCTGGCTTTGTTCATTTTGGAGAGAGCTTTGGAATTCCTTTCTGCTCGTTCTGGAAGGGATTCTCTGCAGTGCAAGGCTTGATCTCAGGCTGTGGTGCTGCAGAATCTGAAATAAATAAAGTGTGTGGTGAGCACACACAGGTTCCCCCCCTCAGCAGCTGGGGAGGTGCAGGGTGAGGTCCAAGGTCTGCTCTGGGTTTGTGCTGTGATTCCTCGACAGCTCTGGTTATCTTTGATCTTGACCTGTTCTCCCTTCACCTGAAGGTTCAGGTGTTTCATTTCCAGCCTTTGAGCATCCCCACCTATGAGCCAGCATGGGCTGAACTTTATTTTCATTTTGCTTCGTTTCCTTTGGAGGCTGCTTTGACTTGTTAGGAAAATGCAATCTCTTCATTCTACTGCGTTTTAGGGAGGTTTGAGGGTTATTTGGTTTACTTTGGAGCACCCAGAGCTGAGATGTTCTTGGCACAGCTGTTAATCCCGGTCAGGCAGCTCAGCCTGGGGGATAATTTGTGTGTCACTAAACTGGGTGACAGAGCCTTAAAGCAAGAAGCCTCTGATGTGCTTGAAACCTCTTCACTGAGAAATCCCCAAAGTTTTCCTGTCAGAGGTGACCCAGAGGTTTGCCTAAGTTGAAATTTGTGGCTCCAAACTGGATTTCGTGCCACAGTGTTTATTTTGGTGAGAGGTTTGCTGTGGCTGGGCTCAGGAGCTCAATTAACTCTGCTTTAAATATACAGCATTTACCTGGCCAGGGGAGCAAATGTGGGAGCTGTTGGACAGAAATCTGTAAATCAGAATAGAGGCACAGTTTGTGCTGAGGATTGCCAAGGATCACCCCTCAGTAAAAAAGTTCATTTCTAATGAGGATGAGAGGTTTGCTGAGGAAAAGGTGTGTGGTGTGATTTCAGTTAGCTGCAGGAGAGAGGCCAGAGCAGTGTGAGCAGCCCCTGGCCCATGAGGGCTGAGAGAGGAGGGATTTTTGAGGGAAGGGGAGCACATAGGGGTCATGTCCTGGTCTAAAACTTCTTGTTTGTAATCGTGTAATAATCTGAAAATTGTAATTCTGAGCTAAAAAAGGACAAAATGGTCTGGGGATAGTGGGATATCCCCCTAGGAAATATTGATGCTCCACATTGTGCCTTCATAACTAGTCTGGAGGAAGGGTGGTGGCACTCCAGGGGGACAGGTTTGCTCACCCTGAGCTGTGGATGCTGTGGACAAGTATTTCCCACTTTGCTGGTGGATTGGCTTGGTGGATGTGATTGGTTTCCAGCCTCCTGCCTGTTAAAAGTCATTGAAAGTCTCCCAAAGACACACCAAATTAATTTCTACTTTTCCTGCTAAAGCACTGGAGCTGCAGTGCCAGCAAAGAGCTGTTTCTGCAGAATCCTCTCTATTGTGGCTCTCTTTTGTTGCTGTAATGATCTGTGTGGAGTAATTACAAAAGCTTGTTTGTTTGAGTGACTAAAAGCAGCACAACGAGATGAATCCTTCATCCCTGAAATGACAGTTTCCTGAATGTTTGGCTTAGGAGGAGCTGCACAGGGAAAACGTGGTTTGTGGACAGCAGATGCTCCATGGTAAAATTGGAGGTGGCTTTCCAGAGTGGCCTTGGAGTTGTGGTGTGATTCTGTGTGTGTGTGCTCTTCCTCTGCAGATTATCTCGATAATGGCAATAATAAAATGGCAATCCAGCAAGCAGATAAACTGCTCAAAAAGCACAAGGACCTTCACTGTGCCAAGGTGAGTGGGGCTGGGGGGCTCTGAGCTCATTCTGGGTCTCAGGGTGTTCCACTGTCCCTTTTTCCACAGTGATTTCTGAGCCCTCTGCAATGTCTCTGATCCTGCCCACCTGTGTCTTGTTTGCCTGAAAATGGCCTGGTAGGGGCTGGAGCGTTGGTCCCACCTGGGCTGGTTGTCAGCACCACTCCAGGTGACCTGGGCTTTAAAAATGCCTCTTGGAGCCCTGGGGTTGGGATCAGAACCTCTCCTTGGGGGGAAATATCTGAGGACACCATTCCAGGGTGAGCAGGTGTCCCAGAGGAGCTGTGGATGCCCCTGGAGTTGTTCCAGGCCAGTTTGGAGCATCTTGGTCCATAGAAATGTCCCTGCCCATGGCAGGGTGTGGAGCTGGGTGATTTTGAGGTCCCTTCCAACCCAAAGCACTCCAGGATTCCAGGATTTTGGAGGCATTTGCTCTTTTGCTTGTTCTCCACCTTCCCTGCTGAGGGAAAGGCTTCTGTTCCTCCCTTTCCTGAACGTGTGACTCTCTTTCTGCTTTTCTCATTTCCCTGGGGGTTCCCCTCTGCACTTCACTCCACTTCTACATTTTGAAAGCTTCCCAAGCTGCAGAGAGTGGCATTGACCTGAATCTCATTTATGTCACTTCTCTCTGGCCAGTTTAGAAAGAAAACTAAAGGAAATTGCCAGTTTGCAGCCTCCAGGTAGAGAAAACCATGTGGTGATGCCTCGGGGCAACCTCAACATTTATTAAGAAGTCAGATCCCCTTTTTGATGCTGTTGCATTTGAGGCTTTTCCTCTGCAGCCACATGGATTAAAAACTGAATCAATGCTGGAGTTGTGCAGAGGGAATGGGGTGGTTGGGCTGTTCCCAGCAGGACTGAGAGGGTTTCCAGATGCAGACTGTGACTGTGAGAGCTGCCCGTGTTGTGCCCACAGGTGCTGAAGGCCATTGGCTTGCAGAGGACTGGCAAGCAGGATGAAGCCTATGCCCTGGCACAAGAGGTGGCAGCACTTGAACCCACAGATGACAATTCCTTGCAAGCACTGACCATTCTGTACCGGGAAATGCACAGACGTGAGTTTGCTCCTCTCCCTTTTTGTTCTTCTTCCAGTGCCCCACAGTTTGGTGGGAAACTTGTAAAATCCAGGATTTGTGCATTGAGAGACTGTTAAGAGGTTCAGAATTGAAGTGATGCCTGTAAGGCTGGAGTGATCTTCATAAAGCAAAAAAAATCTCATTTGAACTTATTTTGAACACAATTGTGTGACAGGTCCTAAATGAACCGTGTTGATAATGATCCAGCAGCCTGGGAGTTCACTTCTGTCAGTGAAACTACGGGAATTTCTTATCAGTAGAGTGACAGAGATTGCAAATCCTACAGGCTGTGATGAAAGGCCTCAGGAAAGTGGTGAAAAACAGGAGGGAAATCCTAAAATCCTGACCTCCCAGTTTGGCCCCATCAGCTTTGTCAGGTTCCTCACAGTGATTTGCATTTTCAAAATCCTGAATCATCAGCTTTGGAGGGATGGAGGAAAGTTTGCTGTGCTTTTCTGGAAGATGCCAGCCCTCCTGTCCTGCCTTCCTGCAGCTGGAGCAGTTTGCTGTTGGTCCTGGCAGCTCCTTGGGGAGTGTGCTGTGGTGGTACCAGTGGTTATTGTGGAGTTTATTTATTTGTTTATTTGGAGTTTTATTTGTTTATTTTTATTGTGGGTGGTAGAACCAAATTTATTGTTGAGCTGCTGCAGAAATGATCCAGGGGTGAAACAGCTTCAGGAAAAGGTGTTTGCATCAGTGTGCAGAAGAGAGTTGGTTATGTTCCCCCAGTTGATTCCTTTGTGTGTCTAAAAGCATCATTTGTTGAGTAATACCAACATTTTTGTGTGTTTTTGACTTCAGCACAAACCCCTGTGAATGACAAGAGCCTCTCTGTGATTATTAACAATTTCCATTGAGCTGAGCTTTGTAACTTTCAGCTCTGCAGCTCAGGAACTGGTGGGTGTGAGGCACTTCCACTTCTGGTCCTGCAAGAAAATTGTAATTAAATGTTTTCTATATTTGTGTCAGGGATGTATAAACTGTGTGAAAGACAAATTGCATTTGTTTTTTCTGTTCCTACTCTGAGATACAATTGTTTGTGTAAGAAAAAAGAATATGGAAGGATGAAAGTGTAAGAAAGTTTTGCATGTTGTACAATCAGAAGTATTTTGTCATGATAGACCTGTTATTAAAAAGTGTAGTGTGAAACAATTGTTTAGAGTTCTGATATAGGTAATTGGGAAATAGCAGGATATGATTAATATGAGTAAACCTGTGATAAGAATAATTAATTTGCTTTTAGGCTCTGGAAGTGTTTGTTTTGATATGTGATTCACATGGAGCAGCAATTCTGCCAGCAGGAGAAACCTTCATTCAGTTTAATGCTCAAAAATAGGGAAAAACCTGCTTTGAAAGTAGACCAAAAATCCTCACGAGCTGCTCCGTTGCTGCTGTTGAACTCTATTTTGATTTAAGTCTATTTTGAGGTTTATTTAGAGCTTTTTAAGCACTTTCCTGATGTTTACAGTGCCTGGGGGACAGAGCAGCATTTTGGGGCTGATGAATGTAATTAATTTCTGTTTAAGCATCCCTGCTGCTCTTTAGGGAGCTGTGCTTTAAAATATTCCTAAGCTGGTTTTAACTCCAGGTCTGGTTTTGGTTTAGCTGAGCTGGTGACCAAACTTTATGAGGCAGCTGTGAAGAAGGTGCCCAACAGTGAAGAGTATCACTCCCACCTCTTCATGGCCTATGCCAGGGTTGGGGAGTACAAGAAAATGCAACAGGTATGACCAAAAATTGGTGTTCTGGCTGGTTTAAAGTGTGTTTTTCTCTGTCTTTTACTCTCATTTGTGTGTTATGAGTAATCTTCCACAAAAGCTGAGCTGGGTTAATGCAGAAGTTAAACTCTTGGTTGGGTTTTGCAGAGAGGTTTGAGCCTCAGTTTTTGGAGGTGGGTTATGTGAGACAAAATTTTGTTAATTTAATTTAATTAACAAAATTTAATTTAATTTAATTTTGTTAATTTAATTTAAAGGTTGTGCCTTTTACTGATCTGTGGTTTTGTGGTTTCAGTACAAAATAAAGGAATTCTGGAATAGGCACATCTAAGAAGAGCTTCTAATCCATGTTTTCACATTTAACTCTGACCTCAGTTCTCTGTTAACTTTAGGAAGATAAATCCTCCCCATGCTCTTTCTGAGTATCTAAAACACAACTTGTATTGATGGTATTCAGTGAAGGAAAAACTAAAAATCACCTGAAATATCCCATCAGTTGTTAGCACAGAGTCACACTGGTTGGTTTTGTTTTCATCCCTTCCAAATTTACAGAATGTCTGTAAATGGAAGATGATTTTCAAGACCTCTGTGCTCACTCTTCTGTGTAAAAAAAAACCACAGAGAGCCAAGAAATAAGTGCTAAATTCCCTCTTGTTCCTGCTGTGGCAGGTTTGGCTTAAATAGCTAAAAAGGAGTTATGGTGTACCTGAAATGAGAAACCTCATGGTGCAACCCAAACTTTGGATGTGATAGATCACATCATGAGTGGAGAAAATGCCACAGATAACAATAATTAACATTTATGTGACCTTTTGTATGTCTGGAGTGACATAAAAATGTGGAGCTCATTAAATTACTTTCACTATCAATTGAATCAAATCATGATTATCATATCACATTGTCAGAGTGGGATGTTGGCTTTTGATTTAGGGATGTGAATGAAGGGTGTGTGCATGGTGACTGATTAGGGAATGAAAATCAACCCCAGTGTCCTGTGCTCTGGGATATTCCAGCTGAAATCCTGGAAAATGCCAACTGCACTCAGGGAATTGTGGAGGGAGAATATTGTGTGTAGTTTCTTGAAATTACAGATTTTCTAGGGGGTAAAAGTCTTGTCCTTTGTTACATACAGGCTGTGAGGGAAGTGTTGGAATAGCTGTTAGGAAAAATCATGAATTCTTTGGCTCTGCTTTGATTCAGCCAAATTCTCTGCTCCCCCTGCTTTGCATGTGGAGGTGACCCCAAATTTGGGGGTGTCAGGTGAGAGGGTTTGCTGTGTCCTGCAGCCCTGGAGAAACCCCCTCATTCCCAAAGAGCAAATCTGCTTCCTGCTGGAATTCCCAGTTGGAGCTGGCAGTGTGTGGGCAGCCAGGGCTGGCTGCTGTTCCTGTCACACCTCCAGAGAGTCCTTGGGAACATTTCCACCCTCTGGTTTCCCTCAGGAGTGGGGAAAATCCTGCCATGTGCAAATCCCCTCCCCTCACTGCTGCCCATCAGGAGATCTGAGCCATGAATCCATTGCAGGGGTGATGTTTTCTGTGTTTTCTGTTTTTCAGGCTGGAATGGCACTTTATAAGATTGTTCCCAAAAATCCATATTATTTTTGGTCTGTGATGAGCCTGATCATGCAGGTGTGTGCAATATTGGGTTTGGCTGGGTTTGGGGTTTTTGTCTGACTGCAGTGCTGGTGCAGAAATGTTCTGAGGGAAAACATGATGATTTTGGGTAAAATGTGTGTTTGAGCTGTTTCTCTGTGATGCTGGGAGAAAGACTGAGCCCTCCTTCAGTAGCAATATTGTTGTGGTCCAAAATAAACTCTGAGGTGTTTTTATAATCCAATTTAACTCTTGCCTTACCACCTTTATACAATTGAATTATTCTCTCATCTGCGCTGATATCCACCTGTCCTTTTGGCTGAGATAATGAATAAACCCTCAGCTATCTGCAGTTTCTCAGTAAGAATTGTTCCTCTTTATGAGGTTATCAAAGCTCTTGGAGGGAATAAATGAGAGCTCTGGAATTAGCAGCAGCTCTGCAGAAACAGGCACAGATCAGCTGTGCTGCTGCTGCTTGAGACAGCACATTTGGGCACTAAAAATCAGACATCAAATCAAACAAAAAATAAGCTTGGAGGGTTTTAATCACATCCTCTAAAATCCTGTGCTGTGTAAAACACAAAAATGTTCAGGCTCTATGTTTTTACCACGAGGTTTGTGTGCTCAGACATGCGGGGCTCTGGTGGATCTGATCAAAAATGAGCTTTTTCTTTGCAGCAGTTTTATTGCTGCCTTTCCCAAAGCAGTGACACTCTCAGGTCACAGATGGCAGCTCCAAACAGGTGGCCGGGGAGGATTGGAACACCTGGGTTGGGGTTTTTTCCTCTTTTAAAGTGAGAAGAGCAGTGGGTGGGACATCACAGAAAGCTGCTGAGCTGTTACAATAATCCCTCTCTTCCTCAGTCTATCTCAGCGCAGGATGAAAACCTCTCCAAGACAATGTTTCTGCCACTTGCTGAGAGAATGGTGGAAAAAATGGTGAAAGAGGACAAGATTGAAGCTGAGGCTGAAGTAAGGCTTGGTTTGAGCTTTGTTGAGATAAGAAATGCACTGTTAAGGGAACTTGATTACCTTGGAAAACTTTAAAATAATAGAAAATGTTTTGGAATGAAATGTGAATGTAGGGGAGAGAAGGCAAACCAAAAGTAGGGTTAACAGAGCCTCAGAATCCTGTGGCTGAGGCAATTTTTGGTGTTTGATTTGACTGATGAATTACTTTGCTCTCTGGGAGGCCCCAGGAAAAACCTGAGGACTAAGAATGGAAAAAAAGATCTAAATCTGATATTGCACCCTTTGGGATACTAAAGATAGCTTTGCAGGCCTGGGAGCCCCTGTTTTCTCTTTTGGCACACCTGGGTATGTTCTTGCTGGCAAATTTCATTGCAGTTTAATTTTTCTTTTAAGGTGGAACTGTACTACATGATCCTGGAACGTTTGGAGAAATACAAGGAAGCTTTAGATGTTGTGAGGGGAAAACTTGGAGGTAATTTATTATTCTTTAATAAATCAGAGTTGTGTGGAGAATACAGCAGTTCCCCTTTGCTTCAGACTTGCAAAAAAAATTAATTTTAGGAAGCTTGACTTAGCACCAGTTTTATCCTCAGTGTAAACTCTGGAGGTGTTGGTGCAACCTGGTTTTACTTACTTTGTTTGTGGCATTTAAACACTGCACAGGCTGAGCTTTGCAGTGGTAAATTTGGATTGTGTTCTTGGTTGTAGCTGCCATCTTCAAAACTGAAAAGTCTTTAATATCTGCGTTTTAGAGGAGTTTAACTCAAAATTAAAATGCAATTGTGGAAGTTTCTGTGGGAAATCTTTCTGAGGGCTGGTGCTGGGTTGGAATGAGGGGGTTTGGGCAGGGCTGAGCTGGGTTTTGCCTGTTTTTTTGGTGCAGAGAAGCTGACGAGCGAGCTGCAGAGCCGGGAGAACAAGTGCATGGCCATGTACAAGAAGCTGCGGCGCTGGCCCGAGTGCAACGCGCTGGCCAGGAGGCTGCTGCTGAAAAAGTGAGAGAGGATTCCTGCAGTCCTGCAAGAGACACGGAGCAAAAAGCCCTGCTTGTTTGGGAATGGCCTGGTTTGGTGGCTTTTGTGGGTAAAATAGGAGAATATTGGGAGGCTTTTCCAAAGATTGCGCTTTGAAGCCAGGGAGAGTCAGAGTCAGGACTGGAGTTGCTGCTTTTTTTTAAGCAGAATTTAGCAACACATTAATGCAATAAAAGGTGGTTTGCGTCCTTATTTCTAAATTCTTGATTGCAGTTCTCATCCTGTCCATGATTTACATTAAATTTTCTACATCTAAATTTCTCCCATTTGGCCAGACTTCATTGTGGGAAATGTATTTAATGCTTGGAGCAGATGCATCAGGAGACAGAACATTCCAGTGTGATCAAATCTGTCTCAGAACTGTCAGGAGAGATGAGGTGTTTGCTTTTGAATTTAACTGTGCTTTCATCTTAGATATAAGTTAAATGCAGAACAGAAACCTCTGCCTTCACGTTTTGTGGGGATGTTGCTGAGCTCTGACTGGAATGTGAATTTTAGGAGGAGAGTTCATAGCTTGCCTCACTTTTGAATTGAAATGGTTTTGCTTAATATGTTTCCAGAAATTCAGGATGATGGTGTTCCTAAGATGTGAGACCTTTTCTAGGGGAAACAATTTTATGATTACAATTAGGTTCTTTCAGTAATATGATTCTGTGTTATTCCTTACTTCAGCTTTGGCAGGAAACGCAGCTTTAGCTGTTAATTCTTTTGGCAATTCCCTAAATTTTGTCCTGTGCCTGATTTTTGTTTCAGCTCAGATGATTGGCAGTTTTATATAACTTACTTTGATTCAGTGTTTCAACTCATTGATGAATCCTGGACGCCTCCAGCAGAGGAAGAGCAGTAAGTTGAGAATTTTGCTGTGGATTTGTTTTCCCTTTTTGCTACAGCAAATTGTTTGAGTTTATTTATTCAATATTAGAGTGAGTTCTTGATGTTAGAGCCCAAATAGGAGGTTTTCTCTGCTTTGTTTGGTGTGTTTTTCCTGCTTTTATCTGGAGGCTGGGAATGGTTCATGGAAGTAGTTTGTGCATCATAGAACTCTTCCAAGCTCCTGTTTTCTGTATGGCTGAGTTGCAGAATCCATCATTTCCCCATNTGGGAATGGTTTATGGAAGTAGTTTGTGCATCATAGAACTCTTCCAAGCTCCTGTTTTCTGTATGGCTGAGTTGCAGAATCCATCATTTCCCCATCTGGGAGTGTGCTGAGCGTGTGTTATCAGTGGGACCTCCCTTTGTGCTATAGCAAATTGCTTGGGTTCATTTATTCAATGTTAGAGTGACTTCTTGATGTCAGAACCCAAATGATGTGTTCTCCCTGCTTTTTTGGTGTGTTTTCCCTGCTTTTATCTGGAGGCTGAGGATGGTTCATGGAATTAGTTTGTACATCACAGAGCTCTTCCAGCTCATGTTTTCTGTGACCTGTGACCGTGTTCACAGGGTCCCAGGAAGAGGGAGGAGATGAGGATCTGACTCCATGTTTCAGAAGGCTTGATTTATTATTTTATTATATATATTATATTAAAACGATACTAAAAGAATAGAATAAAGGATTTCATCAGAAGGGTAGCTAAGAATAGAAAAAGAAGGAATGAATAACACAGGTTTGTGTCTCAGACAGTCTGAGCCAGCTGACTGTGATTGGCCATTAATTAGAAACAACCACATGAGACCAATCCCAGATGCACCTGTTGCATTCCTGTTGCATTCCACAGCAGCAGATAACCATTGTTTACATTTTGTTCCTGAGGCCTCCCAGCTTCTCAGGAGGAAAAATCTTAAGGAAAGGCTTTTCCATAAAAGCTGTCTGTGGCAGTGACCGAGTTGCAGAATCCATCATTTCCCTGTCTGGGAGCGTGCTGAGCGTGTGTTATCAGTGGGACCTGTGCAAGCCCCTTTTGTGTGTGTGTTGGCAGCTCTCTGGAGGGGGAGGTGCACTGCTCCATCGAGCAGGCTGTGAATTTCATCGAGGAGAGGATCTCCGAGGAGTCCAAGAGCGCGCGGCCGCTGCGGGGACCGTACTTGGCCAAGCTGGAGCTGATCAGGCGCCTGCGGCACCGCGGCTGCAACGATGAGTACAAGCTGGGTAAGAGCCCTCCTGGGGCAGGAATTCATCTCTGCACAGGGCACAAACTTGCTCCTCAATCACTGAGTTAAATGCAGGTTTCATCAGGAAAAGATAACCTGTTGTTGTGTACGTAAAGAATTTGAAAAGCGTTGGAAGATGAACTTTGAATAAAGGAAGGGATTTTCGGATTACTTAGGAAAGCCAGCAGGGAGGTTTTCAAAAGGACCTCAGGGATTTAGGAGCATCCAGTCACTCACACTGTGTTCCTAGTGGAAAGTCTTGCTGGTAGTGCTGGAATCTCTGGGTGGGTTTTGATTTTTGATTTAAGTTTTTATGGCAACAAAGCCAGGTTTTGCTTTTTAAAAACCTGCATCACAAAATGGCATTTAGGGAATCAATGAAAGGGTGTGTGATTAGAGCAACATCTGTGCTATTTCCTAAATCCTTTTGTTTTCCCATCCCAAAAGAAGCCATGGTGAGGTAAGTGGAGGCTGTGTGTGCCTGCCTGGGTTGCTGAGCTCTTATCTGCTACAGGAGCTTGAGTGAAGCTCTTGGGTTTTTTTTAATGTGTCCTTGGTTACCAGAGACATTGAGGCTCTGTTAGAATCTGCACCAGAGCAGCTCTCTGCTTTCTAAATCACTGTAATCCTGAAGGGAGGGAAAAGAAGAAAGAATGAACAGAGATTTCTCGTAGTGATTTTACAGAATTCACTTCTACTGGAGGCTGTTGGAAAGGTGACCTGGCCTTTTTCTCTAGGTGATCCAGAAGAACTAATGTTCCAGTACTTCAAAAAATTTGGGGACAAGCCCTGCTGTTTTACTGATCTCAAAGTGTTTGTGGATCTGCTCCCACCCAGCCAGTACACAAAGGTAAGGAAATAACCAAGAAGTGGAGGCAGGAACTGCAGTGGTTGCTTGCACTCTGATCCCTTTATCTTAAAATACCTGTGGATCATATTAAAAGGTTGTAAACATCAAATTTTTACTTTCTGCTTGAAATTCAGAGAACTCTTTGTGCTGTAGAAAATATCACGAACATCTGAACACTTGAGAAGTTTCATTCAGAGGATTTTTACTGGAGGTTTAAAGCTGAGTTTGATCCTGCAGAGTCTCAGATCTGATATTCCTTTGGCTTTTTTATTCCCATTTTTCAAGGTGCCAGGGTGCTTTGAGCTCCAAGTTTCTGTTTATTGGGAAGAAGCTGCCCCTGATTCCATGCAGGGATGTCACAGATGCTTTGGTGGCTCTGGCAGTGCCAAAGGGACACAGTGACCCCAGTGCAGGGTCATGGAGGCACCTCTGGCAGTTTTTTCCAGAATCTCTTTCTGAAACAGCTCTCTGGAAAAGAGTTCCTCTGAAAAGCCCATTTGTGCAGAGTCATGAGCAGCCTGGGGTGACTTCAGCAGCTGGGAATTCTGTCACTCACCCCAGTGTTTGTCTGAGCCTTTGTGTGAGGGATCAGCGCTGGGGAGGGCAGAGAATCCGGGATCAGCCAGAGCCTGGGGATGAAATGTTGGTAAACAAAGTGGAGGTGGCAAAGTTCTCTTGGTTTATTGAGGTATTTTTTGACTGCCAATGCAAGCTCTTCCCAGAGCCCAGTGCTGATGGGAGCAGTGGCTGTGCCCGGGGTGGATGTTGCTGTTTTATGTTTAAAGTTGTGTTTTTAGCCCACTGGCCAGAGATGTGGCCAGCAGGATATTGAACTCCTGCTCCTGGAAATGGTGATTCCATTGCAGAGGAACCCTCAAGTACTGAACAGGTTTCATCCCAACTTTCCAGGGAGCAAATTCAAAACCAGAAGTGGAAAACTTACATTTAATAACAGTTCAGATTTCAGTTTTGTCACAGTGCTTGTAAAACCATGACTCTGACTTTAAAATTCTCTGTCTGGTCTTAAAACTGCTGCTGATTTTACTGAATATATTCTGGAATATATATATTGTGTCAAAGTGATGTAGTGGGTGGTGTTCTGCTTGTCCCTGAAGCAGCATCTGCAGCACTTTAGCTTGGTCAAGGACACGAGGAGCTGAGGTTTGACAGCAAAGTTCCACTTCAGTAGCTGAGATCATGATCTTGCTGGGCCACTGACATGTGAGATAGTCCAGAAATAATGGTCAGGACACCCACCTTGACTTCCCAGAGGTGTAAATTGGACAGTGGAGCCAATGATGGGGTTGACCTTGCTCAGCTTGGCAGAGTTTCAGACTGAAAAGATCTGTCAACACAGCATTCTTCAAATTCTTTGGGAAAACTGGAATTGGTGTGTGCTGTGCTTGCTGCTGCTCCTGAGCTTTTTGCCTCAGGCTGGCATTTGATGCAGCTCTTCTGTGTCAGTACCAAGTGTAGTAAAAGCAATTCATTGGCTTTAACTCGGGTTTCAGTCTGCAGACAATGTTGGGTTTCAGAGCAAGAAGCTGCTGCCCAGCCCTGTGTATTGTGAGGAGTTTTTTGTCTCCCATTAAAACCAAACAATGAGAAGCTGCTTTTTCTTACAGCTTAATTGCAAAAAGGAGTCATTAATCAGAGTTGATGACCTCACTGAGAACTGCACATTCCTTCGGAGCTGAAGGAAAATGTAACAGTGCAAAACCATCCTTGCCTGGAAGTGTGCTGTGAAGCCTGTCAGTAACTAATTATTTTAATTGCATCTCTTATTACCACGAGTGTTAACAGGTGCTTGAACTCCCTGGTGTATCAATGAATTGGAAACCTGCCTCTTGATTTTTCTTCCTTCCATCTGTTTGATGAAACTTAATAAAACCTCAAAAGAAAATCTCGAAGGCTTTTCTTGAACCACGGGTTCAATGTGGCATCGACGTGGATGTTCCCACCTTGCCTTTTTTTGGTTTGATTGGAGGGAGGAAATGCTGCTTCCCCATCATTTGGTGCAGCCCTGCAGCCTTTGCCACCTCTGTGGTGGTGTTTGCAGGGCTCCCAGGACAAGGGAAGAGATGAGAATGTTGATTCCGTGTTTCAGAAGGCTGATTTGTTATTTATGATATATATTATATTAAAAGAAAATGATATATTAAAACTATGCTAAAAGAATAGAAGAAAGGATTTCATCAGAAGGCTAGCAAGGAATAGAAAGAAAAATGGGATGATAATAAAATCTTGTGACTGACCAGTCTGAGCCAGCTGGACTGTGATTGGCCATTAATTAAAAACAACCACATGAGACCAATCACAGGTGCACCTGTTGCATTCCACAGCAGCAGATCATTATTATTTACATTTTGTTCCTGAGGCCTCTCAGGAGAAGAGATGCTGATGAAAGGATTGTTGGCCCGCGGGGGTTTCTCTTGCAGTTCATCCGGCAGCTGCTGGACGTGATCCCGCTGGCGGCGGCGGCCGAGAACGAGGTGGCTCTGCCAGGTGACATCAAGGCCCTGCAGCAGCACCTGTGTGTGGTGCAGCTCTCCAGGCTGCTGGGCATCTACCACGCCATGGAGAAGAAGCAGAAGCTGGCGGTGGTGCGGGAGCTGATGCTGAGATACCGCCACGGGCTGGAGTTTGGTGAGGAGAATCTGGAACGCTGATAAAACTTGGCTTTCTCCTTTCTGATTCTACCCTTCACCTTCCCTGAATTTTGGTTCCTTTCATTCTTTTTCTTTTCCACCACGTATCTTAAAGATAAATGAAGCTTTTCTGGGTAGTTCAGATGGTCTGTGTGTGTAGTAAACCCCTCAGGTTTAGCCAGGGCCCCTTGGAGAATAGAATGCTGACACAGCGGCAAAGAAGTTTCCTGTCTCCAGGGACATCCGCCTTGTACCTTATCCCTATAGCCATGGAAGGCAATATCTTGGTAACCCTACTATTGGTCACTTATGGTCACTCTAACACCTTTGCCATTGGTCAGGATTGGATCCAGGCCAAGGGTATAAAAGTAGCACACTGTACCCCTACTAACTGGGAAGAAGAAGAGCTGAGACCCTTCACAGACCCTCCAATAAAGCCATACTCGTGGAACAGCCAGCGTCTTCTGCTTCTCCTCTCTCTACCGTCTGCTGGAGCCTTAGGCCAAGGGAAAAGCTACCTAGCAAGCAAAGCTGAAATTACAAGAGCTGCCAAATCACTAAGAGCTGAATATTCCCTGCTTGTTAGGGGCTGACCCGCGGCCTTGGTCTGAGAGCGAGCTGGCTTCTGGCACCCAGTCCCCTTGGGGACTGAGCTCTGGAGCTGGAACAGCTTGCATAGGATAAGACCAAGCAAGGCTCATTTATGTGTGTACTTTGCAGGATTGCCTGTGCTTTTAAGCAAAGCCAGGTTTTCTCACTGAAGCGCATAGGACACATTTGTGGGCAGGAGTTATTAATTTGTAAATCTTGCAGCTGTGGGAGTCAGTTCTGCTTCCAGCAGATGTCAATGTGTGAGGTGCCCCAAAGGCCACTCAGTGATGTGTGAAGTTGTTTGGATTTTAAGACAATTCTGATTTTATAAATTAAAATGTGCTCTCTGGTCCTGGTGCTACTCAGTAACCCTGACTGTGAGATCAGCTGGCAGCAATTAGTAATTAATTTTAGTAATTCAAGGGTAACTGGGTTTTTGTTTTTTTTTTTTCTCTTTTTAGGGAAATCTTGTTTGAAAACTGAATTGCAGTTTTCAGATTATTACTGCCTGCTTGCAGTTCACCTGCTGCTGGATCTGTGGCTGGAAGGTATGTTCCCAAAATTGTGCCTTGCTCCTGTTCCCAAAATTCAAAATTGTGCCTTGCTCCGATATCTCTGTGGGAGGCTGACAGGGAGTCCCTGTGGCCAGTGGGTGCCTGGCCTGGCTTGTTAGGCCTGGAGCTTTCTGGGTTGGATTTTTTATTTTTTTTGCTATATGAGGTATTTCAGTAGTCCCTCTGGTCAGCTGGTGTTTGCCCTGAATCTCACTGATCTCTATAAACAGATTTAATTTTTCTGATTAATTCCTTTTTTCTCTCCCTTGGCACGAATTCTGCTTACAATTCCTTTCTGATACCAGAAGTGTTTTGAGAGCATTTCTTTCTCTTCCTGACATACTTTGTCTTTTGGATCCCTTGTTTCTAGACTTGCTGGGACCTGTTTAAATTTGCCTGTACTCCACCCCTGCTCCTGGTGTTAGTCTCTTAATCCCACAGTGTCCAGTGCTGGGTGTCCACGTGTATATTCCTGCCCTGCTATCTGTTACACCCTTGTCTTTCCCAAGGAGGATTTAGTCTTTAACCTGACTAAATCCATGGTCAGGTTTCTGGCAGGAAGGTGGATGGGGGGCAAGCTGGAATTCCCAAACAGCCCAGGATTCATCAGGAAAGGTCACTTTGCCTGCAGTGTGCTCTGTGCAGATGTGAGCTGGATACTCCCTGGGAGGGATTATTCCCCCAGCATTCCCTCAGGGAGCAGCTGGATGTGGAGCAGGTGTTCTTTGGGCACACTGCAGCCCCTGGCATTGCCCTGAGCGTGGCACCACGCGGGCAGAGGGGATTGTGCCAGCTGTCCCTGCTCACCCCGGCCTGTGCTGTGTCTGTCCCCAGGTGAAGAGGCAGCTGTGTGGCAGTGCCTGACTCTCCTGGAGGAGGGGCTGTCTCACAGTCCCTCCAATGCTCAGTTTAAGCTGCTGCTCATCCGGATCTACTGCAGGCTCGGCGCCTTCGAGCCCGTCTCGGAGCTCTACTCCAGCCTGGACGCCAAGCACATCCAGCATGACACCATCGGGTGGGTGGTACATACTGAGAATAATCCCTCCCTCCTCATCAACCCATCCTGGCAGCTGCAGCACCCTCTGCCACCCAGATTTCAGCACATTGTCACGTTTTGGGTGCATTGGCGCATTTTTGGGTGCTGTGGTGGGGTTTTTGGGAGGCACGTCCAGTGCATGCTCCCCCTTTCTCTAGGGTATCTTCCCCCGTGTGATTTTGAGCAGTGTTGGATTTTTTAGAAGGAAATTGGTGAAGTGGTTGGCTGGCTGCCAGTCAGAGCTTGGTGTTCCAGCTTGGAAAGCAAACACACCCTGATGTGATTGAGGGTCTCTCACTGAGAGCAACTCTTACACCCTTAACATGAAAAAAGAACTCCAAGCCCTCACATACTGCTTTGAAAAAATGGAGAATTCATTCCACTAAAAGCCTGAACTTGCCCATGGATGCTGTTAATGCTGTTAAATGTCCAGCTGTGTCCTGTGCAGCTGCTTGCCAGGGCAGTGGCTGACGTTTGCCTCGTGCTGTTTGTTGCAGTTATCTCCTGACACGCTACGCCGGCTCCCTGGGCCACTACGCTGCTGCTTCCCAATCCTGCAACTTTGCACTCAGGTTTTTCCACTCCAACCAGAAAGATGTAAGTTGAAAGAAATCCCCTCCATGACCTTGTCACACAGCAAAGTGTCTTTGAGAGGCTTTAGGGCTTTAGAGGAGCCCTGTGCAAGGCTTGTGCAATTGCAGTGGTGTAAAACATAACAAAGAGCAGTAGTAGGTGCAGCTCTGTAGTAAAGGTTGTCTCAACCTGCATTTCCTACTACAAGTATCTGTGAGTTGCTGCTACATGAGGTTTTGCTTCAGTTTCCTTTCTGTTAAAGTTTTAATGCTCATAAAGCAGGTGTGATTGCTTTTAAATTAATGCTTGTGATTTTATGGAATAATTGAAGTGGAATGTCCTGTGGAAATAAGTGCTGGTGTCAGAAATTTGGCTTTTTTGGAAAGTGAGACAGCAGCCAGTGGTGATGGGTCAGGATGGAGATGGCACATGATGAATCCTTGATGTTCCAGTCACTGGAGCTGTGTGTTTTCAGTGGATGGGGAGGGGTGCACTTCATTTTAAGGGGACCTTCCCATTCTGAGGAGTGGGAATAAATCCTGTGTGTTTGTATTTCACCCCCTGGGTGGGCACTGTTGAGAGGTAGGTGAAGATTATTTTTACTTCCTAAGAAACAAAGGTGCAACCCAGTTTTAATCTGGCTAAGTTGGCTCCAGAGGCTCTGCAGTCACACACTTTGCTTTCCCACTATCCCAGCAATAGATAAAAATACAGAATTGTCTGTACTGAGCAGTAAAGGATCTCACACAGAAGTCACTCAGAAGCAGCAGCTTGCTCTGTTGGCAGCCCAGGTGATTCCTGTGTACAGGATTCCCATTTCCCTGTGCCCAGTTCCTGTGAGCTGTGTCTGACACAGAGGTTTTCCTGAGGGATGCACATGGATTGTTCACTCTGCTCTGCATCCCTCACTTGCTCTTTTTTTTCCTACTTGCTAAAAAGTTTTGGATTACTGGGATTGAAGCCCTGGATCCAGACACTTTTTTTTTTTTTTACTGAGGTGTAACTTTTCAGTCTTGTTTAAAAGTCATTTGGTGGATGTTAATGAAAAACATCCCTGGAACCAACTGTCTGAATGAAAGCCACGACTCCTGGGCACCAGGTGGAAAAGTGAACTGAAAAAACTTCTGGATGTGATTCCTCTGCCTGGGAACAGTGTTGTAATGCATCAAGAAATCATCTTTCCATGGAAAACAATGTGAAGTAATTGAGGTGTGGTTCCCCTGGGAGCAGGTTATTCTCTGGAATGAGTGATGAGAGAAGAGTTGGATGTCCCCAGTGGCTGTTGGCCGGAAAACACAACTCGTGTTCCAGAAATCCCAAAAAGGTGTTGCCTTGCTGCTACACCTTCAAATGCTGGGATTTCAAATGTTGGGATTTCAAGAGGCCAGCAGTGGTGCAGCAGGAGGACACAATGCCTCATGTGGCAAGATGAGCATGGGACTCTGGAACCACTCACATCCTACCTTGGAGATGGTGTTGCAGCCAAAGGACCAGGAGATGATGTTGCTCTCAGGTCTCCACATCTCTCCTGCTCTGGACACTTGTCTCCTTAAGGTTCTTTTGATGGGAAATGCCTCAAAAGCTGTTCAAGGAACCAGGAATTGCAGGAGGTGAAGGCTCAGTTCAGACTGCTGTTCCATGAGGATGATGGTGTGACAAGAGTGAGGATGAAGAAGGATTCCTTGCCATAAATCATGTCACAAGGTCAGGATCTGCTCCCAGTTCTGTGCTTCTGCTGGGGCTGCCCCTTTGTGCTCAGGGTGCTTGGAGCCACTCAAGCCCCACAGTCACATCTGCAGTGTTAAAAGGTGTCTGTCCTTTCAAAGTTCCTTTTTTACAGATTCTGCTGCTGCCTGCTCCTGCCTAGGTTGATGCTGAGATGAGCTGGAATGTCACAGCACAGAGCTGTGTGTGGGACTCTGCCTGGAGCAGGAAGTGTGGGATGTAAATGAAGTCTGGCATAAAAATAGAGCTCCTGAATCAGACTCCTTGCTTGGGATAAATCCATTCTCCTGACTTGCTGAACTTGCCAGCCTGACGTGGATCCTGTGTCAGAGTGATCCCATGAGTAACAGCCGTGTAGGCTGTGTGCAATCCTGCCACTATTCCTGCTCTGGGAGAGGATGCCAAGCACAGGGAGGAGAGAGAGAAGGCAGCATTGCTATATTTGGCCAAAACTAAAAAGGCAACTTTATCCTCCTCAAGACAGTCCTCCTTCAGCTGTGCAGAATCACCAGTTATCTCTCTAATTTTCTTGTGTCCATCCATCTTTAATCTCTCCAGATACTGCAGGCAAACCTCACCAACCTGTCCTGGGGGATTTAAAAACCACGTGGATGCATTTGAATTAGAGCCCATAGTCCCTGACAGTCACCTCTGCAAGGCTGTTGGTCAGAGGGTGTGTTGTTGAATATTTGGCATATTTTTTCATTCAGTGCAAATAACCAAATTACTTAGGGGAAAAAAAAAATAAAGACAACTCTCTAGAGGAGATTTTTTGGTTTGGAGGGAAAAAAAAGGAGTTTTAAATCTGTGTTGCTTTCTGATCTCCCAGAGCCTTCCAGTCAAGTTGAGCCTGTTAGGACCATATAGAATTCAGTTAAGCAGAAGCCTTTTTTGGTGCCTTTCATCTTCAGTGCAGTTCATAAGCTTGTTCAGAAGAAAATAGTTGATTTGCCAGAATTTCTCCGTTTTGGAGTAGTTCTGATGTAAAAACTCAGCTATCACTCATGGCTGGGAGCAGAAACAGTTCACTCTGTGTCTACAGTTAGACATTTTCATTAAAACACTGCTTGTCTGGAGTTCCTTCATCATAAAAATCTCTTTTTTTTGGAGATTGCTTGGACTGAAGTGAAATACTGGCTGCCTGCCTTGTATTGCTGCATTTCATCAGAGAGAAAGCAAAATATCCCATGGACCCTGAGAGCTTCCTTTGGTGTTTGTGTTGTGCCATGTACACACTGTATTTAAAACTCTAATAAAAAAGTGAAACAAAAGATGTGTGAGTAATTTTATTTTTTTTTCATCTATGTTGTGGTGATATGTGATGCTCAGTTTCAGAAAATCTGGGCTATATTTGCCTGGAATTATTTCTCACAATGAAATTATGATTTAATTATTTGAATCATGCATCTGAAAGGAAAAGGAAGGGAAAAAAGCACCTCTTCCCTGTGAAGCATTTCTCATTGTGGTGACAACAACGTGATGTTTAGTGTTGGTTTTGTTGTTAAACCTCACTGCCCATGGAGCATGTGGGCATTCCCAATTTAAAGTAACAAAACTGCCTGGGTGACTTGGAGAAGCAGAAGCACAAATTCCTCCCAGAGATTGAGGATCTTCCAGGTCCTGCAGCTCTGGGCTGATAAACCCACAGCAATGCAGTTCCTTGGCAGTGACCTCGTTGGTTGTTGCTGATTTGGGAGGTCACTGAGGAGAGCTGGTGTGTGCTGTGTTGCAGACCTCAGAGTACATCATCCAAGCCTACAAGTACGGGGCGTTCGAGAAGATCCCGGAGTTCATCGCCTTCAGGAACCGCCTGAACTCCTCCCTTCACTTCGCGCAGGTTCGCACCGAGCGGATGCTGCTGGACCTCTTACTTGAAGCCAACATGTGAGTACAGCTCCTGGGAAAACTGGGAAACAGCCAGGAGGGCCCTGGGGAGTTGTGTGGGATCTCAGGACTGAGGTGTCACCGAGAGCACCCTTGGGGGGCTCGGGAGTCCTGGAATGTTCCAGAAGTGTCTGGTGGCTGGACTTTGATCCTACACAGGAGACGACACCTGTATGAGGACAGGAGGGTTTCACCGGGGTGAATGGTGAAGGGATTAGTTAATTAGAGAGTGAGACACAGGGTTTAGGATTTCTGTACAGGGGGGTTTAGAGAAGTAAGATGGAGGAATTGGGGCGTGTCCTGTCCTTCTTCTTCTTCTTCTTCTTCTTCTTCTCCATCTTCTGTGGTGATGGTGGCACTTTGGGATTGGTCATTACTGAAAGTGCACTGGGCAATAAGGGTGAAAGGTATTGGGGAAAAATGATAAATATTGTACACGTAACTTTGGGTATAAAGATAGGTGACCGCCCGGAGGGCAGGGAGTGTGCTCATGGCTGGCTGCTGAGCAGAGCTCTGTCGGGCCGAGAGAAAATCTTTTAGATAAACAATTAATAAACAATTAATAAACACCGAGACCGAGAAAAGAACTGAAGCCTCTTCTCGTCCTTTGAAACGTGGGCTGCCCCAAGGCCACCCCGGGCCTTTCCAGGCCACCCAAACAGCCGAAAACCGGACAGAGTTGTACCTGCAGAAATCTCAGAGCTGCAGCTCCGCTCCTAAAGCTTCATTCGGGTTTTAATTGGCTTGGGTTGCACCGAGGAGATTTAAAAAAATTCATTCATGGGAAGGATTGTCAGGTGTTGGAATGGGCTGCCCAGGGAAGCAGTGGAGTCACCATGCCTGGAAGTGTTCAGAAAACATGTGAAAGGGCCCAGTAAGGACCAGATTGGTGTTTGGACTTGGTGATCTTAAAGGACTTTTCAAACTTTGGGGGTTCTGTGATTCTGATTTGCTGTCCCTTCCCATCCTTGTCAGTGCCGTGTGTGTCACATTCCTGACTGAGGGAAGAGCTGAGCAGTGCACAGAACATGAGCTGTTAGTGAGCTGCTTTCCCTTTGCAGTGATCAGATGTTTGATTTATTTATGAGAACTAATTTTAGTGCTGCTTGTTCTTACCTACAGATCAACCAGTTTAGAAGAAAGTATAAAGTCCATGAGTCTGAGCCCAGAGGAGGATGACATTCCATGGAAAGATCTGCGTGACAACAGAGACCTGACAGTCTTGTTTAGCTGGGATCCAAAAGACAGGTGAGTAGAAATATCCTCAACTCACACATAGCCAAGAAATTCCTTCCAGGGCAATTCCAATATTTCAGTGTTCCTTGGGCTGGCTGACTTAAGCACCATCCACCACATCTGGCAGGGCTGCTCTGTTAGTTATTAATTTTTCTGCATTTCTGACTGTTTGTTCTTCATCATACAAACCTGGGGAGCTTTGGGTAGGTTTTTGTGCCTGGAGCATTTGCCTGAAGGCTTTGGTGCCTTTCCCTAGGGACATT